TACTACTACTACTACTACTACGACTACTACTACTACTACTACTACTACTACTACTACTACGACTACGACTACGACTACGACTACGACTACGACTACTACCGCTACTTCCACGAATGCTACGACTGCTACTACGGGACAGATTACACGTTGTCTACGTCGTGGAACGTCGAGGACTTGCGATACGCTATTCAACCCAAAAAAAAAAAAACGAACATGACCAAACAATACGGTTACATTAAAATCCAAAACCATAAATCACGAACGCCATGGAGATATGCTCATCGAGCAATACGTCGTCGGCCCAACGGGCCACAGGCGTGCTAAAATCTCCCGCGGTTGGCTTAAAATTATGTTATCCGCGCAAGCGGGGCCGTTCCTAAAGGTCCACGGCCGAAAAAAATCCTGGCAACGTCCTTCCAGGAATGGTTTCGCTCCTGGGCGCCGCCCTCGGGGCCCCAAATAATGCCCCAAGAAAGACCAACAGGCCCCAAGAGGCCCCCTGGATGGTCCAAGAGGCGTCCGCGACACCACAAGACCGCTCCAAGCCGCCCAAGATGGCCCACAGACGGCCTGAGAGCCTTCCAAGACCATTCCCGAAAGGGGCCCACGAGGAAAATGTCATATACGTATGTTCGGTTTTTGAAGGATTTCGGCATTCTCGCCTTCGCGGCTCCCGACGCTCAAACACGGCCTTGAAGGCCTCCGAGATCGCCCCATGACCGCCCAAAAGGCCCGCAAGCGGGCTCCAAGACGGCCCAAGAGGGTTTCATGACGGCGTAAAATGCTTCCAAGACGGCTTCGGAGGGCCCCAAAAACGCCCCAAGAGAGGCTCCTGAGGAGGAACACGAAACGACATTTCTTCAAACCCTCGTCGCGCAGAGGCGCCCAGGAAGCCCCAAGAGACCCCCGGGAGGCTCCATCAGGCCCGCAAGAGGCCGTCAGGAGGCCCCGTGGAGGCCCTCGGGAGGCCCCACAGGGGCCCCCAAGAGGCCCCACAGCGGCACCAGGAGGCCCCCAAAAGGCTACAGGACTGCTCCGAGGAGCTCTCTGAAGCTTTCCGAAGAAATTCAGAGCCCAAGGGTCACGAATTTCCGTTCGGGCCGACGGGGCCCCGCCACGGGCAGGCGGCGGAATGGGCCCAAGGCCGTTGGCAAGGCCTTCCATAAAGGTAGGTGGTATCTCGCCCTCCACAAGCCCCCGAAAGCGCCCCAAAGAGAACCCGAGAAGAACTCCGGGGGCTCTGACACACAGCCTAGACATGTCTGCGAGCAGTAGAGACCAGAACGCCCACGACAAGCTCCAAAGCAACCACGTCACCCCCCACGCCCGCTGTCGCCAAGCCTCCAGAAAATTAGCCCGGCGAAGGACCTGACCATACGCAGCCGCGAGCACCTCATCTGTGAAAATCGCGTTCGGTGGAGCTCCTCGCGGGGGCGCGAACCGTGCGGGAGGCGCGCCCAAGTGGAATGGCGGCGGCGCGCGGGCGCTGACACTGGGGCCTTCGTTGAAGCCCCCATATATGGTCTTTGGCGCGGCC